GGATGAACGAATTAAGACTGAAGTGAGGTGTAAGTTGATATCCATAAATATGGATATAGCATTAGAATGCAACTACACTCACGTGGACTTGACAGAGATCAAGTCTTGGAGCGATCCGTACTTAGAGATTACTTCATTGTTTCAGTCACGAGTAACTCTAAGATGGTAATATCTATTGTCCTAAAGTAGAGATGCATGAGATTCCTGACATGAAGTCAGTTGTGCTTTGACCATACTCCAACGTTGTCTGTAACAGGATGACCATAAAGGGTATGATCAGGTATGACATGATTAGTGGGGAAGTCTATGTAGTCAAAGCTATTTGTTCCTTTCACCTAGTAGTGAAAGCGATATCCTTGGGCCCCTTGATGATTTGGTGCTGACGCTAAATGTATGGCCATACTTAGACTGAATTGATATTAAATCAATTATACAGTCTATTTTAGGTCACCACAAATCTTTATCAAGAAACACAATCTTGAACGAGTTGTAGATTGACATTAAACCATGTCTTACGTTCATATGGATATCTAGAACAAAAGGGATATTTGATCACTTACCTAAAGGACTGTTCTCAAAACCATCTGGTATTGATCACATCGATGTTGTCTTGGATGACACATCCATGCTCACTTTAACGTGACAACATGACCACTGTCTTGGTCATTGAATTCTGTTGAGAAATGTGCAAGTGGGAGTCTGTTGGAGATATGCCTATTGTCACAACATAATTCACATTGCATGCTCCTATTGGGTCGCACGCAAAGTCCAAATAAGGTGCAAGAATAAAACGTAAGAGACTAAGTTTGTTAAACATCATGTTTGATGGTTTAAATTAGAAACTTATAAAAGATATAAGTCATCCTTAAAATACTTTGTAAATTGAAGGGTTTAGCTTGCAATTTACCAAAGTTAGAGGGGTTGATTTGAAACTTTGAGAAAGCACTCAAGCATGCATGGCATGGGACTTGTGCCACTTGAGTGGCTCTTTTTTCCTTCTCTTCTTTAATTGGGTTCCGCTAAACCCATACACACACAAGAAAAATTACTTTTTCTCTCTACACACACACACACAAGTGTGTGTTCTTTGTGTTCTTGAGTTTCTTTGGCCAAACTTGAAGAAGAAAGAGGACTCTCTTGCACCTATACTTGGAGCTTTGGGTGTGAACACATAGAGGAACTCTCCTTTTGGGTTCTCCTTGCAAGTGAAGGTCGAAATTCTTTCTCTATCTCTTGTTATGTTGCTTAATCTCTTGTACATTGGATCCTTTTCTTGTTGGATGGTTTTTATGTTTTTCGCTTCCGTTGCATGTATGTTTTTTTGTTATAACCATCATCCAACAAATGGTATCAGAGCCACCTTGTAACAACCCACATAGCCCATGTACAGATAATTCACATCATCATACTCATAAAACTAAAAATAGTATTGTTACAAAACATGGACTAACAAAAACTTTCTTTAATACATATATGAGTAAACAAAATGCCATCAACACTAAACTTTTCCCTTTCCTTTATCCTGTGAGGTATGATGATCTGCAAAACCGGTTAGTCCAATAACTGAGCGTTAGACCAAAAAGGYCTAGTGAGTGTATAAATCTCAAACAAACAACATACGTTCTAAACAATAAGTTTAGAATCAAACCTGTTCCGATACATAAACATATTTATCTCTCTCGCGGTTATACCGCCATTACATCTCTCTCGCGGTTACACCGCCATTTCATCTCTCTCGCGGTTACACTGCCATTTCATCTCTCTCGCGGTTACACCGCCATTACATCTCTCTCGCGGTTACACCGCCATTACAAACACACAGCTTCGGACCATCGGGCCTCTGGTTTCAAATAATACTTAGAAAATATTTCGACAACCAGGACCATAGCCCGTCTGGTCTCTCTTCCAGAGCTGCTGGTCTTCACGACCAGAGCCTCTGGTTCTAAACCACACTTAGAAAATATTTCAACATTCTGGACCAGAGCCCCTCTGGTCTCTCTTCCAGAGCTTCTGGTCTTCACAATCAGAGCCTCTGGTTGAACCAACCAGACTTAGAA